TTCATTTCATCTTTGTTCTCCCACGTCCAATTCGGACCACGGTGATGCTTCCATTTAACAAGGACCAAATCTACGATCTTGTTTCGTAGATTAACGGTTCTTTCATTAAGAATGGCCTTGGGTTCTTCTATGTACCTCAATCTTTTATCCAACTTGACCTCGGCCAAAGGAACGGTTCTCCTTACCCAACCATTTCCTTAGATAGCTAACATGGAAAACGTCATGAATACCGGAGAGTTCTTCTGGCAACTCCAAACCATAGGCTTGTTTTCCGATACATTCAAGGATTTTAAAGGGTCCAACGAAATGTGGACTCAACTTCCCTTTCTTACCAAATCGTAAAATTCCCTTCCGAGGTGATACTTTCAGCATCACCATATCTCCCACTTCAAACTGAATCGGTCGTCGTCGTTTGTCGGCATAAGATTTCTGTCGATCTTGGGCTGCTTTCATTCTTTCACGTATAACCCGTATCTTATCATGTGTGACTTGAATCAACTCTGGTCCAGCCAACACTTTCTTTCCGGTTTCTTGCCAACAGAGAGGCGTACGACACTTACGTCCGTACAAAGCCTCAAAGGGAGCCATGCCGATCGTGGAGTGATAACTGTTGTTATACGAGAACTCTATAAGTGGCAAGTGGTAATCCCAGCTTCCACCAAACTCCAAGATACAAGCTCGTAACATATCCTCCATTGTTTGAATCGTGCCCTCTGACTGTCCATCGGTTTGGGGGTGATACGCAGTACTAAGAGCGACACGAGTCCTTAGTTCTCTTTGCATACTAGTCCAAAAATTTGAGGTAAATCGAGAATCACGATCAGAAACTACCTTTAACGGTACACCGTGACGGGCAATTATCTCATCGATGTATACTTGTGCCCAACGATCCATAGAATAATCTTCCCGAACCACGAGAAATTGAGCACTTTTTGTTAACTAGTCCACAATCACCCAAACACTATCGTGTTGACGAGAAGTCTTCGGTAACTTCGTTACGAGGTCCATGGTCAACTCTTCCCATTTCTAGACGGGCACCTCCAAAGGTTGTAAACTACCATAAGGTTTTTGGTGCTCAACCTTCACTTGCAAACACGTAACGCATCTCTCAACATAACGGCCAATATCTACTTTCATGCCCGGCCACCAAAACTCGGTATGCAGATCATGATTCATTTTTGTACTGCCGGGATGAACGGACATTCTAGATTTGTGAGCTTCTGCCAGAATAGTCTTTCGCACACCACCAAGTTTCGGTACCCAGATTCGGGATCTAAACACTTTCACGCCACGATTATCTTCCGAGAGAGAATCTACACATCCAACTATCCGTTCAGACGTCACATGTTCAGGTTTTAAAGCCTTAGCTTGCCATCTTCGCAGGTCGTCAATAAGCGTAGACTGTATAGACGTGTGAGTGATTGCGTAACACATATAAGAGACATACACTTTTCGACTCAAAGCATCCGCCACCACGTTGGCTTTACTAGGATGATAGAGTATTTTACAGTCATAGTCTTTTATTAACTCCATGGCCCTTTGCTATCTCATATTCAAAGTCTGTTGATCGAAAATGTACTTCAGACTCTTGTGATCCGTGAATAATTGACATTTCGTCCCATAAAGATAATGATGCCATAATTTCAAGGCAAACACTACCACCGCCAACTCAAGATCATGAGTGGGGTAGTTCTTCTCATAATCCTTCAACTGTCGGGAGGCATACGCAATCACCTTGCCTCGTTGCATCAATACGCAACTCAATCCCAACTTCGACGCATCACTATTGACCACAAAGTCATCATTACCTTCGGGTAAGGCAAGAATCGAAGCGTTCGTCAAACAAGCTTTCAAGAGCTGGAAAGCTTTCTCTTGTTCTTCATTCCATACAAGCTTCACAGCTTTGCGAGTGAGTGAAGTAAGGGGAACAACAATCTTTGAAAAGTCTTTTATGAATCGTCGGTAATAACCCGCTAATCCAAGAAAACTGCGGATCTCTGAGGCATTCTTCGGTGGTTCCCAATTCTGAATTGCCTCAATTTTAAATGGATCGACGGAAATACCCTCATCGGAGATCACATGCCCTAAGAATTGCACCTTTCTGAGCCAGAATTCGTATTTCGAGAACTTGGCATATAATTTCTCTTTTCTTAGTAACTCCAACATTTAACAGAGATGCGTAGCATGATCAATTTCTGACTTAGGATACACAAGTATGTCATCAATGAAGACAATGACAGACTTATCGAGCATAGACCGACATACTCGATTCATCATATCCATGAATGCAGCCGGAGTATTCGTTAAACCAAATGGCATTACCAAGAACTCATAGTGTCCGTATCGGGTACGGAAAGCCGTTTTTGGTACATCTTCATCCCGCACCTTGAGCTGATGGTATCCGGATCTCAAATCGATCTTGGAAAAATAACTTGCTCCCTGCAGTTGATCGAACAAATCGTCAATACGAGGTAACAGATATTTATTCTTGATTGTTACTTTGTTTAACTCGCGGTAATCAATACACATGCGAAATGAACCATCTTTCTTCTTCACGAATAACACCGGAGCACCCCAAGGTGAAGTACTCAGTCGGATGAAACCTTTATCCAATAATCCTTGTAATTGGCTCATCATTTCCTTCATTTCTGCCGGGGCAAGACGATTGGGTGTCCGTGCAATAGGTGCAGCACCTGGCACAAGGTCAATTCGAAACTCTACTTGCCTGTCCGATGGTAGACCAGGCAAATAATCAGGAAAGACATCCTGAAATTCACATACCACGGGTACATCCTTGGCCCATGAAAGAAGGGCACCCCTTAGATAAATATCGACGAGCTTTGAGTACAGAAATTACCTTGATGTCACCGACCCCTTTTTCTCCATACACATAAACATAATCTCCTTCACTAACTAGTATTCGGATCATCCGTTGCACGCAAATAATATCCGCCCGATTTGCTACTAACCAATCCATACCAATAACCACATCAAAGCCACGAATATCCATAAGAATTAAGTCTACTGAGAAATTTTGATCCTCCAATACTAATGTACAATCTTTGAATACTCTATCAGCTACTAAAGGGGTTCCACTAGTGGTATCCATAGAAAACGGTCTATCAAAAAGTACAAGAACAGATTCGAGGAAGCGAACAAAGGCTTGCGACACAAAGGAATACATAGAACCAGAATCAAACAATATACGTGCAGGATGAGAATTCACGAAAAATATACCAGTGACGAGCTCCGGCTCCTCCCGAGCCTCCTCTGCTGTGATCTGGAATGCTCTAACTCTTCTTCTTGGTACTTCCTCCTTTCGGGTTGAGGAACACCCAACCATTGGTTGTCATACTGAGGCCTTACTATCCTCACATTGGGCATTTGGACAATTAAGCTGACGATGTCCATAAGCTCCACAAGTATAACACGCTCGATCTCGTCTTGGGCAATTTGTACGAATATGCCCAACTTCACCACAGGAATAACACAAAATTTTGGACGGTTCAGAGAAACATCGTCCCGAGTGCGCCTTGCCACATCGTTGGCATGCGCGAGGTGTGTTTGACTGCATGGAATAGGCTCGAGATGGGGCTCGAGGAGCACTCTGAGACTGACTCCTTCTTGGGGTGAAAGATCGATTAGGTCGGTTTATAGGTACAGAAGTTGTTATTTTAGTTCTCTGTCTCTTTGGTTCGGGTGTGAATTCACCATAGAGAGAAAGTTCGTGTTCTCGTCGTCTAGCACATTCAACCGCTCTCCGAAAACTTGTAAGATCACAATTCGATACAAATTCTTTAATCTCTCTCCTCAGACCGTCAACAAAATGTTCAATCTTGTGTTGTTCAGAGGTAACGAAACGTGAAGCAAAACGTGCCTTCATATTGAACTGGGTCTCATACTGCACCACAGTCAAAGAACTCTTTCTCCAACCGTTTAAGGTCAATGAACTCTTTCTCCAACCGTTTTAGTAAGTCAGGGGGACAGTATTGTTCGTGAAAAATGGCTTTGAAACCTTCCCAAGTTAAATTATTTCTTTCAGCCTCATTCAGAGACTGGTAAGTTGCGTCCCACCATATCAATGCATTACTCATAAACATAGTGGTCGCATAGTTAACCTTATCCTCTTCAGAGACTTTGGAGATCCGAAACACTTTTTCTGTGTTCAGTAGCCATTCGATAGCTACAAT